AGCCGGATCTGACGCTGGCGCGCGTGTGGGGCTGCATGGTGCAGTTCATGGTCCCCGAGCAGCAGCGCGGCGGGAAGCTGGCGCCGAAGGCTCGTTGGGGTCTTCACCTCGGCGTGTCGCCCGAGAGCAAGGGCTGGGAGGTGCTTGACTTGACGGACAACAAATTGGTCACGACGGTCGAAGCAATCTTCTACGAGAACCTGTCAATGGAGAAGTGGAAGGTGGAGTACGGGCCAGCGTCGACGAGGACGTCGTCTGCCCCGCCGCCAGATTCCTCCTCGGCGATGCCTCCTCTGCTCGCCGTCGTCGACGAGCCTGATGATGAGGACGTAGTGGAGGTCCCGCTCCCTCCTCCTGTTCTGCCCTCGTCGGCCGCCGACGATGAGGGGAGACTTGGTGCGTCGCCTGCGGCGCCGACCGGTTGCATCGCCGGTGGCCGACGTGACGCCGAGAAGGTCAGCGACGGGAAGCTGCAGACGACAGGGGAGCTGTCGGCGTCGAATCCGGCTGCAGAGAATCTGCTGGCAGAGGCGCCGAAGCAGACTGCAGAGGAGCCATCAGCAGAGGCGCCAACTTCAGGGGAGCCGATGGCAGAGAAGGCGATCCTGGGGGAGCAGCCGGTAGAGGAGCTGCCGACAGGGGAGCAGTTTGACGATGATTCGTCGAGCGACGACGTTGTGGAAGTCGTCGTTGCGGCCGGTGGCGGAGAAGGGGAGCAGTCCGAAGACGACGACGTGGTAGAGGTCGCGGTCGAAAAGGAGACACCGCGCCGGTCTGCCCGCTCCAACATCGGCAAGCCGCCGGAGAAGCTGAGCTTCCACGCTTGTCTGCCGCCGACGGCCTACAGCACTCTGCTCCACGACGCAGAGGACGACGTTGATCTGCCCGAGCTCGACCCTGACATGCACGCCGATCCAGAGCATCGCTGGGATATCGCCAACATGACGGTGAAGGAGGCATTGGCGAGCTGGAAAGGCAAGGCGGTGAAAGCGGCCATGGACGAGGAGATCAAGAGTCTCATCTCCAACGGAACATGGGAGCTGGTCGAGCGTCCGCGCGGTGTCAACGTGATGAAGAATCGTTGGGTACTCACGACAAAGTACCATGTCGACGACACGGTCGCCCGCGAGAAGGCGCGTCTGGTGGTGAAAGGTTTCACGCAGGTCTACGGCGAAGATTACGACGAGACGTACGCGCCGGTGGGGAGCTATGTAACTCTGCGGATCTTCCTCAGCATCGTAGCAGTTCTTGACCTGCACCTGATGTAGTTGGACATGAAAAACGCATTTCTGCAGAGCAAGCTGGATCGCGTGCTCTACATGTACCAGCCCGACTACTTCAACGACGGAACCGGTCGCGTCTGCAAGCTGCTGAAAAGCTTGTACGGACTGAAGCAGAGTCCGCTGCTGTGGTATTCGGCGCTCGACGCGGTGCTGATCGGCGCAGGTTGGAGCAAGAGCCAGGTAGACGAAGCGCTCTACTTCAAGGTCGGCGACGACGGAGTGGCGTGCTGGGTGCTCGTCTACGTCGACGACCTACTTGCTGCAAGCAGCAGCACTGCGATGCTGAAGGAGTTGAAGGAGCTGCTGGAGGCCGCCTTCGAGCTGCGCGAAATCAGCCCGGTCGAGAAGTATCTCGGGCTGGAAATCGTGCGCGACCGTCCTGCGCGGAAGCTGTGGCTTCATCAGCAAGTCTACGTCGACAAGCTGCGCCGGCGTTTCATCGACGAGGAGCAGACCGGGCGAGTGCCGAAGACGCCGGTCTCCGTCGACGCCTACGCAGAGCTGGTGTTCGACGACGAGGAGTTTCAGTCGCGCGAGGAAGCAGAGTACTGGCAGAAGGTTGGCTCGCTGCAGTTCGCGGCCACCACGACGAGGCCCGACATTGCTTTTGCTTGCAGCAAGCTTGGATCTGGCCTGACAGTGCGGAGCGACAACCACTGGCGTGAGGTCGATCGTTGTCTGCACTACCTCGCTGAAACTCGTGACGCCGCTCTGGAGTTCGGCGGCGGACCAGAGTCGTTGTGTCTGGTCGGCTATGAAGATGCCGACGACGCTGGCGACAAGCAGAATCGGACGAGCACGGGCGGCTACTTTTTCGTATTCGGAGGAGCCGCAGTCTCTTGGGCGAGCCAGCGCATCAAGTGCACAACGCTTTCGTCGACCGAATCAGAGTACGTCGCGGCTACCGAAGCCGGCAAGGAGGCTCGCCGTCTGCGCTTCCTCCTTGCAGAGTTCCGTCTGCTCGACCCAAGGAAGCCGACTGTTCTGCACGTGGACAACCAGTCGGCGATCACTGTCGCAGAGGGCTTGGGGCTCAAGGGCAACCTCAAGCACATGGAGCGACGCTACGCCTGGCTGCAGCAGATGGTGAAGCGCGGGAAGATTGCTCTGCAGTACATCCCGACCACCGAGCAGCCGGCAGATTTTCTGACGAAGGCGCTGCATTTTCCGGCTTTCAACCGGTGCTCCGTCGCAATCGGCCAAGTGCGTCTGGCCGACGTGGGCGACGGGGATGACGAGGTGCATCAGTAGGTGTCGTGCCCTTCTGCACGGTTGGTGCGGTGATCTACGTGCTATGCGTTGGGTGCACGTAGAAGGAATTTTCTCCTTGTATTCTATCCCTCTGGGTTCTGGGTGGACCTTGTGTGTGGGTCCCCAAGCGTGAGCTGGGCAGGGGAGTGTCAAAGAGAAAGGCCCCGCCCTCGCTTGGGCGCAGCCGATCTCGCCGTCGACGGGAAGTTCTCGACGAATTGGTAGAAGAAGTAGGCTTCTGCAGTTTGACGGAAGTTGCAGTCGAGCAAGCTCTGCTCGACGGAATCTGGTCGACGAGCTCTGCGCGACGAGCTCTGGTCGACGATCTCTGCGCGACGAACTTCCGTCGAGGAACTCTGGTCGAAGAGTTCTGGTCGAGGAGCTCTGCTCGGCGAACTCTGTTCGACCGAGCGATTGCGAGTCCTTCGACCGAAGTTGCAGAGTTCTGCGAAACTCTGCGGAGGCGTGCGAACTTTCGCCCAGGAGATTTTGGCGAAGTTCTACCTGCGGAACGGCAGAACGTGCTCGACGGTGCGCACCTGGCGAAACCGACGACACGTTTTCTACCTGGCACCTGCGCAATGTGCCTGACGGTGAAACCGCCAACCTGCACCTACTTGGTAGGTGCGCACATCTGCGCAGATAGACAACCTGCGACTGCAGATAGTTACCTGCGACTGCAGATAGTCACCTGCGACTGCAACGCTGGCAGACCGCGCGCAGTGCAACGTTGGCAGAACACTCTGCTGCAACGTTGGCAAGTCGCTCTTCTGCTGCGCTGGCAGATTTCGCCCTTGCTAGGAGTTCCATGCCATTCTAGTTTCTTTTGTTCTGCATGCCTCAATTGTACTATCAAGTTTCCATTGCAAGTTGTTCTTTGTCAATTCCTTAGTGGAAACTCTTGCAAAACTTCTCTGTGAACACAGCAAGCAGTAAGAACGTTAGAACAACGCTACGATCACCCGCACAACTCCGTGCCCTCCACCGTAGTCCACTCCCGTTGTGTAGTGACTCTCCGCAAACCACACGAAACACATCACAATTCGTTACTTCTTTGTCAAAGACGAGATTGACAGGGGCAAGGTAAAACTCACGTATTGCCCAACTGGTGACATGGCAGCAAATTTCTTGACCAAGAAGCTGCCACGTCAGAATTTTGAGCACTGCCCTACCTCTGCGGGATCTCGATGAAATCCCACGTGGCTCACCTTCTGGAATGAAGGGGAGTGTTGGAATAACCGAAAGGTAATTATAAAATTTCCGAAGGCTCTCTCGTAGCGCACCACTTCATAGCGAAGCAGCGCTACTGTACTAGTACCGCAATAGTTCATATAGAGCATGCGGCAGCTCGTGAGTCACCCGAAGGTCAACAGTCGCTGTTAGTCAACGGTCGCGACTGTTGACCGTCGAGCAACCGTCGCAGAGGTTACGCGATGCAACCTGGTAACTGTCGAGAATGGCAATAGTCTCAATTACAGTAGCTATGTAATACAGTTAATAAGGGAATGTACCCCTTAGATTACATGGCTAGCTAGTTTGCTATTTATACCATTGTACTCCTATATTAGAATTATCTTGTTCTCTTTCAACTTTTATTAAACAAGGTCCTTTTTTCATCGAGTGCAAATACTTGGTCAGTGTTACGAGTGCAATTGAGTGAGCGAGCGAGAATTGCACTATCGAAGCAAAAAGTACAATGAGCGAAGGCATGAGCGAAGAATATATAGCGAAGCTACAGTGGTAACGGTAATGCGTGGAAATTGGGGTGCGCGACGGGCCTGGCGCCGAGGTTGGGAAGTGTCGAGGCGGAGGTCCGGAGCGCGGGTTACCAACCGAACCGTGAGGTTGGGTCGCGTCGTGAACAGTGGCGGGAACAGTGTCGAAGCGAGTGTCGCGAGTGGTAACAGATTACTGTTGGGTGCTGTTGGCGGGAACAGTGGTGTACGCGCTGAGCAGGGACGCGAAGTAAGGAAAAGGAATTTTCCTTATAGTCTACTTGAGACCCTACTTGGTCTACTTGAAACCTCGACAAGGTTTCAAGTGTTTGGTAACTTGCGAAAGTCTTATAGAACGCGACTTTCGCCCGTGTTTAGACACAACCCACATTTGCGAGCCAACCACGTCTCTCTCGACCCAACCATCCTAACCACTATTTACTATTTACAGATCGTCGCTATTTCATTATTTACCAAACCGGTCCTGATTCTTCGGTCTTCGGTCTTTATTTTCCCCTCTCCGTCGCGTTCACCGCGTTAGTGTCGTGTTAGCCCCGCCAGTGTCGCATTCGCCTCGTTACTGCCCCATTCACCTGTTACTATCGCGTCACATTCGGCCAATATACATGCAGCAATGGCTTCTGATCGGCCAGGCTCCAACCCCCAATACTCGATTCCTATTGGCGGAACGACAGGCGGATTATCAGGGCTGAGCCAGCCGCATTACCGAGCCTTCGACCGACCCTCGGCAATGGCGCTAGGTTCGGATTCGTCCCCCGTGGCGGAAGCTAGGCTCGCAGCCACCCCGCATGGCGGACCTCCGCAGAGTCCGGGACCCAGGCGGAAGCTTCAGCAGAAGTTTATGGCGGACGCGGTTAAGTGGCTGGTGGGATTCGTTATAGTCACGTCCTTTTGCAGCCTGCTGGTGAGCACGTGGCACATGGTGGTTGGTGGGGGAGAACATGGGGAGACGAGGAATGGGAGGATTGTTGGGGTGTTCGGAGGAAGAGGAAGGGGTGAAGAAGGGTTGGGTGTGGCAAGCATTGAAGTCATGAGTTAGGAAAAAGAGGACGAACGCATTTTGTGGTTCAACTGCCCGCTTTTCGATTATGTCCCCTCTGCTGTGAGTCACAAGCCCGCCATCCTCACCCTCCCCCATCCTCCCCATTCAATCCGCCGTGCTCGCTCGCAGTACGTTGGGTCGCTGTCAGACGCGCTTAGGAAGGAAGACATCACCACGTCGCCCCTCATGTCCAGGTCAGATCCTTGAATGAGTCAATAGCATGACCCGTGCATGGAGAGCACGCAGTGAGAGCATGCATTGAGAGCATGCATTGAGAGCATGCATTGAGAGCATGCATTGAGAGCATGCATTGAGAGCATGCATTGAGAGCATGCATTGAGAGCATGCATTGAGAGCATGCATTGAGAGCATGCATTGAGAGCATGCATTGAGAGCATGCATTGAGAGCATGCATTGAGAGCATGCATTGAGAGCATGCATTGAGAGCATGCATTGAGAGCATGCATTGAGAGCATGCATTGAGAGCATGCATTGAGAGCATGCATTGAGAGCATGCATTGAGAGCATGCATTGAGAGCATGCATTGTGAGCATGCATTGAGATCAGGTGACATTATTCCACCAAAAATAATCAAGCCGAAATGAGCAGCTGTGTAACGCCCTCCCTCTTGCCGCCCCCCTCTCCCGTGTCTCCAATCCCCCACCCTCCCTAGCATAACCCACCACGAGAGCATGCAGTCAGAGCAAATGTCAAACCTCTTTCAGCCACAGCAGTTGGAACTAACAACCCGCACCAGTGTGTTCCCCTTCCTCCTTCTCCCCGCCCGCCCCCTGTTGGCTCTCCAACCCCCAGCATAACCCACCACGAGAGCATGCAGTCAGAGCAAATGTCAAACCTCTTTCAGCCACAGCAGTTGGAACTAACAACCCGCACCAGTGTGTTCCCCTTCCTCCTTCTCCCCGCCCGCCCCCTGTTGGCTCTCCAACCCCCAGCATAACCCACCACGAGAGCATGCAGTCAGAGCAAATGTCAAACCTCTCAGCGACAGTTGCCGAAATCAACAACCGCACCAGCGCTGCTCTCAACTCCCTTACCCGCCTCCACTCCCTTCTCCAAGAGCAACGCACCCACTCCCTCACTGTTGAAAACGAGCTCGCTGCTCTCACCACCGCCGCCACCACGCACCTCTCCGACCCGCCGCCTCTCTCCGCCGCCGCTCTCAGCTCCCTCTTAGCTAAGCACGCCGGGCAGCTCTCGGCAAATTCCGAAAAGCTGACCGAGAATTTCAAGCGGGAGCTTGTGGATGAAGTGGTTTCGGTGAAAGATATGATTCTGAGAGTGGCTGGGCCGGTGGCACAAGCAGGACTGAGGCTGGAGCTTCAAGGAGAGCTGGAGAAAGTGACTAAGGGAGTGGCGGGATCAGTGTCAGCAGCGGTGGGGGAACACAGCAAGGAGACGGTTTCGGAACTTAGTAAAGCGCTGGTGGAGAGGAGCAAAGAGGCGGCGGCGGAGCTAGCGAGGATAGGAGAGAAGGTAGCGGCTGAAGCTGCAAGGGCAGCTGCTGCTGCTGTGGCTGCAAAGCTGGGGCAAGCGGGAGGGCTGAGACTGGGGGTGGGGGGGAAGCAGGGGGGGTTGGCGGGGGAGGGAGCGGATGGGGGGAGTGAAGGGAAGGAATTGGGGAAGGAGTTGAAATCCCTGCATGAGTCTCTGCAGGTGTCTATTAAGGAAGCAGCAGGTCGGGTGGCTGATTTGGTGCAGCATGCAGAGCAGATCAGAACCCACTTGGCTGCTGTGTCGTCTTCTGGCAACGTGAACAGTACAGTGAACAGTACGGTGATCAGTGCGGTGAACAGTGCTGTGGAGCGGTTAGAGCGGGTTGCTCGGCAGCTAGTGGAAAGAGGAGGGGAGAGGGGAGAGAGAGGGGCGGGTGGAGGAGGGGAGGAGGCAGAGCGGCTGAAGGCGGAGCTGGAAAGGAAGGTGAGGTGATGGAGGAGTGGTGAGGGGTGCATGAGGGTGATGAGATGTTTGAGTCGTGGTCACGGGGCGAGCACATTGTGGGGCCTGCTGTTGCCCCCCACCCCACTTCCACACCGCTCACCCAGTGCCTTCCCTTCCCTCGTATCCACAGGAAGATTCGATATCCCAGAAACAACCGTGACTGTCAGCAGCAGCTGGTCACAGGGCACACTGTGGGGGGCCGGGCCGGCTGCTGACCCCCACTGCCACACTTCACTCTGCCCTGCCCACTGCATTGCCTTCTCTCACCCCCACCGCCCACTCTATTCCACTGTAACCCCTCTCCTCGTGGCCACAGCAAGAGGTGATCTCCCAGCTGCAGGCGCGACGGTCAGCAGCAGCTGGTCACGGGGCACAGGAGGAAACTGCTGCTGCCTTCCACGGCCCCTCCTATGCACGTCAAGTGCCTTTCATCCCCCAATCTTCTCCACCGCAACCCCACATCCTCCCCTGCTCTCCCTCTCGCCACAGGAAGAGGTGATATCCCAGCTGCAGGCGCGACTGTCAGCAGCAGCGGGTCACGGGGCACTGGGGGGGAATGCTCAGGCATCTCAGGGCACGCTCCCCCGGTTTGGTGGCTACAGCTTTGTGCACTTCAGGTGAATCCAACATGATTCCAGCACTTGAGGTGATTCCAGCACTTGAGGTGATTCCAGCACTTGAGGTGATTCCAGCACTTGAGGTGATTCCAGCACTTGAGGTGATTCCAGCACTTGAGGTGATTCCAGCACTTGAGGTGATTCCAGCACTTGAGGTGATTCCAGCACTTGAGGTGATTCCAGCACTTGAGGTGATTCCAGCACTTGAGGTGATTCCAGCACTTGAGGTGATTCCAGCACTTGAGGTGATTCCAGCACTTGAGGTGATTCCAGCACTTGAGGTGATTCCAGCACTTGAGGTGATTCCAGCACTTGAGGTGATTCCAGCAGTTGAGGTGATTCCAGCACTTGAGGTGATTCCAGCACTTGAGGTGATTCCAGCACTTGAGGTGATTCCAGCACTTGAGGTGATTCCAGCACTTGAGGTGATTCCAGCACTTGAGGTGATTCCAGCACTTGAGGTGATTCCAGCACTTGAGGTGATTCCAGCACTTGAGGTGATTCCAGCACTTGAGGTGATTCCAGCACTTGAGGTGATTCCAGCACTCTCTGAATCCAGCATACAGGTCTCCCAGGGCAGATCGTCATGCTGGTATCACTCTCTCAGTCCATGGGCGTCATATCACCTGCCAGTCTTGGTAAAGGCTTCTCCGTGATCCATTGTCACACCACCCACCTCAAGGTCACTTTATGAGTCGACTGAAAAGACACCTCATTACAATGAATTTTGAGTCGATTATAAGAAAACATTGTGGGCTTCACTTGGCCCTGACTTTCTAAGTCAGCCATTTATGTTTTGTTGTCACACCACCTCACACCCCCTCTACCCGTACCCCCTCCCTCTCCCACCCGCCGCCCACCCCTTGCAGCTCGTACCAGGTGGGGGAGGCGTCCTTTGCAGCGCTGGGAGTGGGGCTGCGAGCCGCAAGAGACCTGCGCCGCGCCCACCACTGTGTGTGCGTTCCGCCCTTGCCTCTTTCCCGCCCTTGCCTCTTTCCCCCCTTTGCCTGTTTTCCTGCCGTTTCCCACTCCTTAGGACGCCCCGAAATCCTTGTCTGTGGCCAGTCCTGATCTGGACCCTACCTTGCACCTACCCTAAACCCAATGTCTCACCCTGCGCTCCTCCTTGCCCTGTCTGCTCCGTACTTCCCTCATTCCTTTCCCCGTGCTCTAGCAGTCGTCATATCAAACTTCTCCTCTCCTTTAAAGATTTTTCTTAGTTCCTCCGCATTGAAAACAGCCAGTCTTTTTTTCTTGTATCCACAAACTCACTCATTCTGTTCCCTCCCCACACCCCTTTCCGCCCACCCCCTTTCTCCGACTCCTTCCCCCAACCCCATTCCCGCCACCTCCCTCCAGATGGAAGCAATCCAACCACTCCTCTTCCACGTCAGCCTCATCCACCACGTCAGCCTCATCCGCCACGTCAGCAGCATCAGCCCCGTCAGCATCACTGGCAGGCACAGAAGTCACGGGGTCGCTCCGCATCATCTACCCCGCAGACAGCAGGGAGACGACCTATGAGACGCTCATTCTACTCTGCTCCTTCCCCTCGCCCATTCCTGCTGTCAATGAGGGGGTGGTTGCGGCAGTGGTAGACGATGAGCTCATCCCGCTGCTGCTAAGGTGCGTGCAAGCAGTCTGTATCAGACACGCCCCTGCGTATGCTGCTCTGCTCTGGTCCTTGCCCTCGCCTCGCCCATTCCTGCTGTCCATGGAGGGGTGGTTGCGGCACCTCTGAGGTCTGAGCTAAGGTTGGTGCGAGCACTCACTATCAAGCACACACACCCACACGCATTCTGCTCTGCCCCTCCTCTGCCATGCCTGCTGCCCTCTGCTCCTCTGCCCTCCCCTCTCCCTCATCTTCTCCCCCCTCCCATCCGCCCCTGTGCGCCAAAGGTGTGAGCTGAGTGTTCTCATTCTCACATCACATCAAACCAAACCTCCCTCTCACACACAGCTGCCCCCGACTAGACCGTTTCAGCTTCTCCCATGCAACTCCTTCATTTCCTTTCTGCTCTCTTTACCCCGTTGCTTTCCTTCCTCACTTCCTTCACTCCTCTCCCCCCACCCCCATCCCCCTCTTCCTCACTCCCAGCAGCTCTCACCAAGCCAAACCGCACTCCACTCCCACATTCTCCATCACCGACCCCTCCTCCTCTCCCTCCCTCCCCTTCCACACCACCCTCTGCCTCGCCCCTCTCTACGGCCCCTCTGTCCTCCCGCGCTCTCTCCTCGAATTCCTCCACTACCACTTCCTCCTCGGCGTCGACCACTCCACACTCTACGACTCAGGCGGCGCCACGTCAGCAGTCCGCGCCACGCTGGCTGCTGACGTGGCGCGGGGCCGCGTCGAGATCGTCTCTCTCGACGGCATCCGGCCGTTCAATCCGTGGAACCATGGGCAGATCCTGGCCCTCCATGACTGCCTCTATCGCTCCCGAACCACCTCCCAATGGGTCCTCTATCTAGACATGGACGATTTTATCTACATCCCTCCCTCCGCAACCCCTCTCCCCATCCCTCCCCTCCAAGCCTTCCTCTCGCGCTTCCCCTCCCCGTCCTCCCTTTCCTCCTCCTCCTCCTCGTCATCCACTCCTGCCACAGAAGCTGCCACCACCAACGCAGCAGCAGCGCACGCACCGTCACACACACCAGCACAGCCCGCCCCAGCAGTGATCACCTTCGGCTCGCTCTGGTTCTCCGTGCGTCACTGCCGCCCGCGGATCGAGCACGAGGAGGAGGTGCTAGGAGTCCCACAATACACACACGAGTACACAGACTACGAGGAGGCCAAGAGGGCTCTGCTGCCTGGTTCTGCGGACGAGGCGTGGGGAGGGCAGAGGGATGATGAGTTTCTGATCGAGCGGTTTGTGTTCCACTGGCCGGAGCCCGCGTGTCATAGTAATGGAGAGGGCGGGCGGTTTGTGAGCCCCAAGATGTGCCTGGGCGAGCAGGGCCACCGCAAGTTCATTGTGGATCCCCGGAAGGTGCGTGAGTGAGGCCTGGCTTGTTGTTGTAACAGGAGCGTGCTGCTTGCTTGCTTGCTTGCTGAGTCCAAAGGTGTGCCTGGGCGAGCAGGGCCACCGCAAGTTCATTGCTGACCCGCGGAAGGTGCGTCCTGTTTTCTTGCCGATTTCGAAAGTGAAGTACAGGCAAATTTCACTGTAATTCAGTGTTTCTTACTCCTAACTCCACACCTCATCATTCCTTGTACTGTGTGCCGCACCCCCTGCCCTCCGCCTTCACCTTCCCCCTCTCCCCGGCAGGTGGAGCGCATGGGGGTGTTTGGGCCGCATAGTGACGACGCGCCCACCCTCTCCCTCCTGAATCTCAGCACGGACGACCTGCTGCTGCTGCACTACCGCGAGCTCGGCTTCGTGAGCGACCTGCACGTGTGCAATGAGACGGTGCACGTGCGCGACACCGTGGGGTGGTGGCACAACAGCACAGTGTACCCGCGATCCGTGTGGCAGTTGCGGCAGAAGGTCCGCTGCAACTTCACGCTCAACGGGGTGAGTGCATAACGAAGAGGTGTGTAATGGCGGTCGTGTTCTGCATTCTTTTCTTTCTGTTAGTGTGCACGTTACTTATGCTCGTCTACTCTAGGTTAGTACATACCGCACGTATTTGCTTGAATTCTGCATTGTTCCTTTCAACCAACAATGATCTGGTGGAGTCTCCCCCTCCGGCCCTCTTGAACCTGCTCTCTTGGCTCTTGCTAACTTCTCATCCTGACGTCTCGTTTGTCTGTCAATGGCTCTTTTTCAGTGTGAAGACCCCACTTTTGAAGCCTTTTCACGTTCCTAGCCTGGATTTCTCGAATGGATGTGGAAGGTACTACGTGTTTGAGTGTCAATCTTTTGGAATGGAAGCCATCAACATGAAAGCACATCACAGAAGTTGAGAGCACAGCAGATTCGCATCTGTAGTGGAACAATACGGCAGTGTATACAGTTAACAAGTGTAAGGAATCCACTAGTCCTTGCTTCGTGTCGTATCATCCTGCATACCGCATACAACTTTATATACACAAAATCCACAAAAACTTGGCTGTTTGGAAGTGCTACGGGTGCAATGGAACGAGATAGCGAGGATTGCACTAGGTGTCAAACGAGTACAAAGTATGCGCGAAGGCATGAGCGAATACGTATGTGCGAAACATGCAACGGTTACGCGGTGCGTGTGACTAGCTAGTGCTAGGCTGGCATGGAGGTTCGGGCTAGTCCCAAAGCGTAGGCCGACTCGGCCAGGCCAGCGGAGCAGGGTTTGGTAAAACAGTGAAGCCCCGTTAGCAGGCGAACAACGGCTGCTGCTGCTGTACGCGATGTTGAATGCTGAAAAAATCTTTAGAGAGCCTGCTTTGCTAGCAACACCAAACTTCGCCGAGGCTCCTGGGAGGTTGTCCCCTTCGAGGAACGCACTGCTTGTGTCGAAGGGCCGCACTGGTCATGCGCCATTGAACGCAGCCCTACCTCCCTTCACATAGTAGCTAACAACAGTAGTAGTAGCAGTTACTCGAAAGTCACTCGAAAGTAGCTTTACAAAAAAAAATCGAAGCCCCACATTTCTTAGAAGCGCTACGCGCGTTAGTGGCTTACTTGTTTCAACTGTTCTTTGTCCCATCAAAATGCCACCTCTTCTTCGGTTCTTGTAATCATCACGAAGCTTCCAACAGCCGAAGTCGGTTCACAGCGTAACCCTAACCGTTACCCTTCGCCGAAACTAGCTCGCGACCATGAAAATAACGCGCCGGAAAACGTCGTTGAATGATGAAACGAAGGACAGTCGCCTGCTATCGCTCCCGGACGACCTCCTTCTGCTGCTTCTCGCCCGAGTGAACCACCCCTTCGATCGCTGCAGCGTCGCTCTCTCCTGCTCCCGCCTTCGCCGCCTCTCCCGCCGCACGCCCCACTCGCTCAACCTCTTCTTCGTCTCACCTTTCCAGTATCGCAACGAGCGCAGCTTTTTCAAAGCTTTCGACGATTTTTCGAGAGTATTTACCCACATCATCTCGCTTACCGTGGAGGTTTGCTCGATCCGAGGAAACGAGCTGCTGGCGAGCGTCGGTGCGAGCTGCCCGAAGCTGGAAACATTAAAGCTCGTCGCGAAATGGGGGGACTTCTACATGAGCGCTGCTGCATGGATGAAGCTCGCCAAGCAATGCCCGTGAGCTGCGTCTCTCGTCCTCGCTATTAACATGACACTTGACTCAGCATAATGAGTCACACGATCGACCATTCAAGCTCACAACGGAATGACCTTTTAACTTTCCTCCTCTCCGTTCCCCTCCTTCTTCACCTCAACCCCTCAATGCCGTCAACCCTTTTGAAGCACGTAGTTTGTTTTCTCGTGTTCCTCTCCTCTTAACTCCTGCCTTTCCCGCTCCCCCTTTCCCCGTCCCATTTTCTCTTCCCCTTTCCTCCGTTCCCTTCCATCTTTCCCCTTCCCTCCTTCCCCTGGTCTCCCTCCCATTCCCTCTCCTCCCACCTTCCAGCCTCGTGACATCCCTGGAGCTTGACTCTCCGTTCGCCCGTCGCGCCATCATCCACCGAAATTCCACTGGCACCCCCCTCCCTCCTATCCACGCCTTCCCTGCTCTGCACTCCCTCGCTCTCCTCATCCCTGCCTCGAAACTAACCCCCCTCACCCGCTGTTCCTCCCTCACCTCCCTCACACTCTGGAACCCCCTTTCCTCCACCCTCTCCTCCCTCGCCTCCTCCTCCTCGTCTGTCCGCGCCTCCCTCAACTCCCTCACCCTCCACTCCGCCAACCTCCAGTTCGGCCTCGCGCCCTTCGCATCCCTCCCCCGCCTCGCCTCTCTCGCCTTCCTCTCCTGCACTATCGACCCCTTCGACCTACACGCCCTCGCTCGCTCCCTCCACACACTCACCCACCTCACTATTCACAACTGCCCCTTGGTCTCAAGCCACGCCCTCTTAGCCCTGGTTGAAGCCAACCCTGCCCTCTCCTCCCTCTCCCTCCACGGCACCACCTACCGCCTGTTTAGCGCCCCGCCCTTCCGCTCTCTCCTCCACCTCTCCTCGCCCCGTCTGCACACACTTGAGCTCTCAGGGCTGCCGTCCTTCCGCCCGGGTATGCTAGCGCACTGCATCGGCCTGCACTCCCTTGTGCTGAAGGGAATGCCGGAGACTCTTGCAGCGCCGAGTGAGGGAGATGCTGAGACTAGGAGTGGAGAAGGAAGGGGAGGAGGAGGGGGGGATGGAGAGGGGGAGGGAGGGGGAAGCGTGGTGCTTCAACGGGTGTCATTGGATAGTCTCGTTGGCATGCTGGTGCGCGTGGTGCAGAGGGGAGGAGAGGAAGGGGAAGTGGGAGGGGAGGCAGGAGGGGAGGAAGGACGGGAGGTTGGAGAGGGGGGTAGAGGGGGGGAGTGTGAAGCAGCAGAAGAGGTTGACAGGGTGGAGGGAGCGAATGAAGCTACAAATACTGCTGCTGGTGCTGCACTAGCAAGGGTGGGAGGAGCAGCGGGGCCTGCAGCAGCAGCAGCAGCAGCAGCAGCAGCAGCAGCAGCAGCAGCAGCAGCAGCAGCAGCAGCAGCAGCAGCAGAAGCAGCAGCAGCAGCAGCAGAAGCAGCAGCAGCAGCAGAAGCAGCAGCAGCAATAGCAGAAGCAGCAGCAATAGCACCAAGAGCAGGTAATTCCAGAAACGGGGAAGAAAGAGAGTATGTAGACATCAGAACGGCGGCAGCAGCAGCCCGAGCCGACCTCATAGAGTCAAGTCAAGACATGGTCACTCTCATGGAAACGGCCAAGGAGTGCCACACAGCCGTGCCGTCCGCTGTCCACTGGGCGCGCATGGCGCGGGCGCAGCCGCAAGACGCCCTGTCCGAGATCAAATTCGCCATCGCTAAAATCAGATCGGGCATCTCAACGTGGCGGGCGCTGCGAGTGGCAGTGAATCAGAAAGACGCGGCGACGGCGTGGGAGGATGCAGTGAGTGAGGCGTTTGCTGCTGCCACGACTGCGGGCGTGTTTGTGGGCACGCGGAGCAGGGTATGCGAGGAGGGGGAAGGAGGGTTGGTGCGCCTGGAAGACTTTGACGGAATGCTTCCGGGTGATGATGACTTGCTTGTTGATGCTGCTGATGCTGCTGAAGGGAGTGAGGTTGGAGAGTTTGCAGCTGGGGTTGACCCGGATGGGCAGGCAGTGGCTGTGATGGAATCTCTGCTGCAGCAGTATTACGAGCAGAGCAATGCGGCGACTGAGAGCCTCAGGACCATGCGCGTGCCTCGTGCAACTGCTGATGCTGCTGCCGCTGATGCTGCTGATGCTGATGCTGGTACGGCGGATGTTGGTGCTGCTGCTGGTGCGAGTGCTGCAGCCACAGGAGCAGCACCAGCAGATGGAACAGCAGTAATTGGTGATACAGCCGCAACAGCGGGGCAAAGGGGAGGAGGAATGTCGTTGCAACAAGGAAGAGGGATGCAAGGGGATAAAGTCTCAAGGGAGGGAGGACAGTCAGGCCGCAGAAACAACAGTAGCAAAAGGAACGTTATGGGCAGCCGAAAATCAGTGGGCAGCAGCAGAAGAGCACGGAACATGGGAGGCCAATCATGTGGCATCTCCGGGATTCTTGTGGAGGTGCTGTGCCCTCCCTTACACTCCTTAACCCTTAAGGACTTTCACTTCACCTGCACTCCCATGCCTACGTGGCTGCCTCCATCCCTTCCCTCTGAATCGCCTCTCATGTGCCTCTCTTCCGCTCCTGCATCCCTTCCCTCTTCTTCTTCTTCTTCCACTTCCCGCTCACCTTCTCACTTCGCTCCTGCTGCCGTTTCAAGGGCAGTCTCTCAGCCGCAGTCCTTCCAATCTGTTGCACTCGCTGCTGTTTTCGGGCAGCTGAAACGCCTCACACTGGTGTCGTGCTTCGGGCTGAAGGAGGAGCAGATGGTGCTGATGCTGCGTGCTTGCCCAATGCTGGTGGCTTTAATCGTGGACGACAACGAGGACTTTTCAGACCGGGTGGTTGCAAAGAGCAGACTGGAGATGCTGACGCATTTGACCGTGCTTGAGTGTGATGCAATCACTGCAGATGGCATTGGAGGGCTGCTGGGAAGCTTCCCAAAGCTGCAGGAGTTGAAGGTGGAAGCAAGCAAGGTTGGTGACAGGGCTCGCAGAGAGCTGCTTCGAGCGGGCGTGGCTCTGAGTCACAGGTGATAGAGTGGAGTGGAGTGGAATGGAGTGGAGCATCGCATGTCCGAGTGTATATAATGGGGTCCATTCTCGCCACCAACCACATTTGCGCCATATTTCTTATCTACAGCCAGTTACGGAATCGCTCAACATCAACCTGGGTGGGTGCTATGGTATTAAATCATTTCCTTAAATGGAAAGTATATTGAGGCCCTGGTGTTTTTTAGAAGCCAGGGCGATTTGTACAGCTTGATCTGGTGAAGTTTAGGGTTTAGGGTTTTTCTTGGACCCAATGAATGGATTCCCCTAAGAGTTCGTGGGTGAGTCCATCATAGCAGAGTTCAGGCCCCTAAGCTTACTCCTAAGCTTTAGTTCCTTGTTGTATCAGCACACTTCTAGATAATCTGGTAACTCACGGATGCGGTATTTGATAGACCTGCACTTGAGCACTACAGTAATTTCTGGAAATGCAAAACTCTCACCATTCTCAACAGGTCTAGGCTAGGAGATATACATTTCTTTATCGCTACCCAAACTAGACCTTATGGGGGCCTTGACCATCCCAATGGGACAGGAGTCGGTGATCGATTAACGAGGGTATCTGCACAATATAACAAGCACGCAACCACATCAACGCAAAGCACACACTCCACACATTATCAGCAGGCAACGGGGCTATTGTCTAGCGCAAAATATCCGCAAAATGATTCAATGCTACCGTCATCGCCCGGATAGAAGACAGTGTTGAATAGTAGACAGGGGTTGTCTATTATCCGGGTGTCTCTTATAAACAGGCTAGCCTCATTATAAGACACCTATTTGTGTGTACGAGTTACGCCAGTGTAGGGGTTAGGGGCAATTGTACAGCGAGGGGGTATCTTCTAAACGGTTCTTTGTCCATTTATAAGACTTATAAGACACCCTAAACCGTCCCAAATACAAGATAACCCAAGCATTTTGAGTAGTGTACGAGATAAGACATATATGTCTTATATCCGGGCGATGACGGTATATGCTGCGCAATCGAATTAGCCAGTAATTAGACAATCAAACAGCAGCCACCCATCCACCCACCCGTCCACCCAATCAGCCCCCCAGCCAGACCACCCATGCACCCACCTTATCACCAAAGAAAAGCTTGGTGTTGTTGGCGAGTGCCTCTATGAATTTGAGCTCCAGGAAGGGAGCAGTGAGCAGCGCACTGTTGGCCTCTGCCTCACGCATCACTCTGTACATGGGCAGGCAGTTGGGCACACACACACACGCGCACACGCAGACACGCACACGCATGCACGCATGCATGCACGCACGCACGCATGCACGCACACACGCACGCACACGAACACACAAACACACACGGCTGAATTCTCTCTCCTTGCACAAACACACAATTTTCTATACCTTGTGAAAACCAATCAATCCCTCTTGAAGCAAAGAACGTCTTGGGGGGAAAAGGAATGTTTCTGTCAAAAGATACGAGTTCTTCCCACAGCGGGACGCATTGGGCACGGCTGAATCAGGGGAGGAGCATGCCCACAAACACGGCACCCAGGGCGCAGGGCAGCAAGCACAGCACCCGGAAAACCAGCCAGCACCTGTAGTGGTGAGCGTCGGCGAGCGCTTTCTCGCGCGCCACAAACACCTCGTCGTCTATTTGCTGCTGCCGCTGCTGCGACTCCTTCTCCCGCACCCGCTGCTCCATCAGTACTCGGCTCACCTTGGTGGGCCAGCACGGGGGATGGAGGGAGGGACAGGAGGGACAGGGAGGGGGAAGGAAGGAAGGAAGGAAGGAAGGAAGGAAGGAAGAGGGGAGCAGGAGAGGGTTTAAGCACGATGTGCTGCCGCTGCTGCGACTCCTTCTCCTGCACCCGCTGCTCCATCACCATCAGTACTCGGCTCACCTTGGTGGGAGGAGAAATGGAGGAGCAAGAGGGGTGAAGTGAACGGAGCGGAAGGGAGGGTGGGAAACAGGGAGCAGGAGAGGGGGTGTGCGCGATGTGATGTCATGAGAGGAAAGAATACCAGGGGGATGGGGCTACTTTTGAGGCGCCTCAAAACATGAGACAACTTTTGAGGCGCCTCAAAACATGAGACAACTTTTGAGGCGCCTCAAAACATGAGACAACTTTTGAGGCGCCTCAAAAGAGGGGGTGAACAGGATTGGCAGTGGAGCGGTGGAGGTTGGGGAGTGGGGCAAGTAGGACGCAGAGTGGAGAGAGACGGAAGGCACATGCATGGGAGAGGGAAAGTGCAATGGATGCTTGCTTTCACCTGCTAAGAAACCCAAGCATTCCATCCCATCTCAGTCCATGATCCCATCGCACTCGCACAAGCATCCCATCCCATCCCATCCCATCCCATCCCATCCCATGATACGGCCGCAAAGGCAGACAACGGTACCCCCCGTGCCCCCATGGATGGCACCTGTGCAGCCATCTCAGCCTCGCTGACTGCCCTCTTCTTCTCCGTCTCTGCTTCCTTCTCCACCACCTTCTGTCGCTCCATGGCTATCAGCACCTGCACGGGCAACGGGGTGGAGTAAGAGGGTGGGGAGGAAATGACTATTGAGTCGACTCAAACCCTTCTCATCTCCACCACCTTCTGTCACTCCATGGCTATCAGCACCTGCGCGGGGGGGAATGGGTGGGAGCAGAGGGTGGGGGGGAAATGACTGTTGAGTCGACTCAACCATCCTTCTCCAACACTTCTGTTCGCTCATCGCTATCAGTACCTGCCACGGGAAAGTAGAGGAGCAGAGAGAGGGGGGGGGGGGAGGGAGGGAGAAGAGGGGGGATGGTGCGTGGAGGGGCACGAGCGTGCAAGCACGGTTTGGAGAGATAATGAAGCGGAGAAGGAGAGAAGAGGGAGGGAAGGTGTAGAGAGATAATGAAAGAGGAGAGAAATAAAGCAGTGTGGGAAATAAGGTTTGTGATGGAAGACAGAGGAGAGAGAAAAGAAGAGGGAGAAAGGAAGAGAGTGAGAGGCAAAGGGGACATGTGCGATATACTTGCTTTTCCCATCATTACGCATGTAATTTAACACACACGCAAAAACCCTCAAGAACACGTGTGCTCACTCAAATGTGTAGAAAAACATGCACAATCGCACGCGCGCGCGCACACACACACACACATGCACACACACACACACATATGCACACACACACACACATGCACACACACACACACACACACACACACACACACACACACACACAGAGACATTCACACACACGCACACACACATGCACACACACAAACACACACATGCACACACACACACACACATGCACACACACACACACACACACATGCACACACACACACACACACACAGACATTCACACACACGCACACACACACACACACACACATGCACACACACACACACACACACATGCACAGACACACACACACATGCACACACACACACACACTCACACGCACACACCGCACACACCACACACACACACACACCACACACACCACACACGCACATGCACACACACACACGCACACACCCACACACGCACACACACACCCACACACACACACACGCACACACCCACACACGCACACACACACCCACACACACACACACGCACAGACGCACACATGCACACGCACACACCCACACACCTACACATCTACACACACACACCTTGGTCCTCTCCTCCTCCATCTGCTCGTAGTTGCGTGCGATGACGGGCGGGATCTTGGGCTTGGTGACGCGCACGCCGATGATCTCGATGCCCGGTGCGTACTGCACCAGGTCCCGCATGATCGCCTCCTTCACCTTCTCATCTATCTGATGCATGGTGGGCATGGTGACGAGTGGCGGGGAGTGGTAGTGCGTGGTGGTGCGTGGTGGTGCGTGGTGGTGCGTGGTGGTGCATGGTCGCATCACCCACACAGGAGCCATCGCACATTACGCACGGGGCAGAGTCAGGGGTAGAGCCATTTGTGGGTGTGATGGGTGCATGTGATGCACGGCAGATGACGACAGAGAGAGCCATGCACCCTCCAACACTCACTGTGTGCTCAACACAGAAGCTGCCTGTGCACCACCTGCCCACCTGGTCAGAGAGGCCCATGGCCTTCCCCACATCTGGCCACGTCTATACTATACCTGCATGCTCACCGCTTCTTCCCACCTCATGCATGCTCGCTGTGCTCCGCAGGGAAGTTCTACATTTCCCCTCCCCCTCCCAGCACATCTCCCCCAACACCACCCCCCCACCACATCCTTTCCACTCCATCCCCCCACCACACTCCCCCCACACCACATCCCCCCCACACCACATCCCCCCCGCACCACATCCCCCCCACACCACACCCCCCCACACCACACCCCCCCTCACCACACCCCCCCTCACCACAACCCCACAACTAACACCAAACCCACCACCATATCCCCACCGGACCCCATAAAGAGCAACCTGGTCGAAGAGGTCGATGTAGACCTGCTGCAGCGAGTGCGCACTGCAGAACTGGTTGATCTCGTGGTGAATCTTGTCGTAGATCCACGTCTTGTCGTAGTTCACCCCGTACTGCTTTATCGTCTCGTGCACGTAGTCGTGCCGAAGCCTGTTCACCACCTGCGAGAGGGGAGGAGGGGGGGGGGAGATAGAGGGGGATCAGGGAAGGGGGGAGTGTGGGAGGGGAGGGCGGAGGGTGGAGAGAGGGGAGAGGGTGGGGGGAAGTGGGGCGGGGTTAGGGGGATTGGGGA